CGCCTCCTCCTCCTCCGCCTCCTCCTCGCTCCTCATCTTCCTCCTCCTCCTCCTTCTCCTCCTCCTCCTCCTTCTCCGTTCCGGCGGGACCACGCCCCAGACATGCGACGTCTTGATTTTTCCAGGACGGCGTCCCCGGAAGTCCCGACCCGTTTCCCGGGACCGGCTTTTCATCCTGAGTCGTTTGTTGACGGTCCCGAGGCCCAGCGAGGGCCCCCATGCAGGGGCCGAACACGGCCGAAAACCCGCCGTCCTGAATTTTTACGAGGCGATCGTGTCTTGGGCTCGAGCTCTGCGGCCAAAGTGCGGATTCTGGGCGTTGCGGGTGCGGCCCGTGCAACAGTCGTCGAGCCTCGCGTGGCTGCTGCAGATCTCGGGCCCGCGCGGCGGGCGCCAACAAGGTCTCATAGCCCCTCGGGGGGGGGGGGGGCGACTTACATTGGGAATTATCAGCTCCCAATCGAAGAAGAGTGAAGAAGAGAGAGAAGAATTGCGAAAATCCGAATCGAGAAAATCGAAGAAGAAACAACTACAGAAACATAAACTTTCCGCGCTCCGCGCGGATTTCTTGGATCTGCGCTGGACCCCCTGGCGGCGCCTCTGGCGCCGCCCCTGGCGCGCTTCGCGCGCCGGGGAGGGGGGTCTGGCGCGGATCCGAGAAATCCGCGCGGAGCGCCAAAAGTGTATGTTTCTGTGGGATTTGGTGCCCGTAGAGAGAGCTTTGAAGAGGGCCCTTTGGGCCCCTGATGGCTCCGAGCGGGGCCCCGAAGGGCGTCTCTGGGGCCTTTTCCTTCACCCCCATTCGGGCCATCCTCCATGATCATCAGCCTGGGCCTCCCCCAGGCTATGAGGAAAAAATCACGGCGGACGGCTTTTCGTTACTTTCGGTCTCCGGGGGCCCTCGGCGGGCCCTGGGGCCGTCAGGCAACGGCTTCGGGATGAAGAGCCAGTCCTGGGGAATGGGTCGAGACCCCTAAAGGCCAACGTTCTGAACAATCCTCACGCCACGGTTAAGTCGGGCATGTCTACAGGAGGAAAATCCAAAAATAGTTTTAAACAAAATCATAGTCTGGGGACGATTTGCCTACTATGTTTGTGTATCTTTGATGTTTGCTGGCTTTAACAAATTTGTATCCAACATCCGCCTGTGGGAGGACATGCCCGACCTAACGCCGGGGGTCTGGGGAGGCGTCCTCCGTGAGCGCCTGGCCACCAGCGGCGCCGCGGCGCACCAGCAGCCGCGGGCGCGCGCGCGTCGCGGCGGCTCGAAAAGTCGAGGCGTTGCCTTCGCTGTTTTGCTGTTGGTCTGCTGCTGTTTGATGTGTGTGGTGTCTTCTATGCGTCACGTGCGTGTGTGTGTTGTGTGTGTGTTGTGTGTGTGTGTGTGTGTGTGTGTGTGTGTGTGTCTGTGTGCGTGTGTGTCTGTGTGTCTGTGTGCCTGTGTGTGTGTGTGTCTGTGTGCCTGCGTGCCTGCGAGCCTGTGTGTGTGTCGGCGGCGAGCGAGGGGGGGAAATGAGAAGGAGAAGGCCTTCTCAGAAGGCGGCGGGACTTCTCAGAATCCCTCGCGCCTTCTGAGAAGTTTGTTCTGTCTTCGGGGACGGATCAGAAAACTTCTCAGAAGGCCAGGTGACTTCCGAACCTTCTGAGAAGGCCTTCTCCTTCTCGCTTCCCCCCCTCGCTCGCCGCCGAGTGTGTGTGTATGTGTGTGTGTTGTGCCGCCCGTCTCGAGGCGCGGGCCAATCCCCGCCGCACATAGGTGTGGCGCTCGACGGGCTCTCTGGTGCCTCGCCTCGTCGGCTTCACCGCGCCGGTGACCCTTCCCCCCTGCCGCCCCTGAAGTCGGGCACGTTCCTCTACAGGAGGCATTTCAAACATAACAAAAACGTCGTCCTAACAAATAGTCTGGGGACGTTTTTTTCTATTCTTGCAGATGTTCGGCTATGTTTAATCCTTCGTCCAAAATTGCCTGTAGGAGGAAATGCCCGACCCAAGCCGCCCATCGCCCCGCCGCTTGCCGCCAGCGACGGCCCGCCGGCGCCCGTCTCCGCCCAGGCGTTCGCACGCCCCACCGGCTCCTCGCCTCGCCCGCCTCCTGGCCCTGCCCGCTGGCTGCGGCCCGCTTGGCCTCCGCTCCCCGCTTCCTCCTCGCTCCTCCTCCTCCTCCTCCCTCCTCCTCCTCCTCCCTCCTCCTCCTCCCTCCTCCTCCTCCCTCCTCAGCCTCCTCTCTCCTCCTCCTCCTCCTCCTCCTCCTCCTCCTCCTCCCCCCTTCCACCCTACCCTCCACCTCCTCTCCTCCTCCTCCTCCTCCCATCCTCCTCATCCTCCTCCTCCTCCTCCTCCTCCGGCCTCCTTACTACCCCTCCCCTCCCCCCTTACTCCTCCTCCTCCTCCTCCTCCTCCTCCTCCCTCCCTCCTCCTCCTCCTCCTCCTAATCCCTGCCTCTCGTCATCCTCCTCCTCCCTGGATGCTCATCCCCTGCGCCTCCTCCGCCTCCTCCTACCTCCTCCTCCTCCTTCCTCACCTCCTCCCTCCTCATCCTCCTCCCGCGGCCCTGCTACCGCCCCGCCGCCCCCCCCCGCCCCCGCAGGCCCCCGCCGCGCCCGCTGCCTTCCGGGCGTATGTCGGACCACGTACCCCTATTTTTTTTTTTTTTTTTTTTTTTTTTTTTTTTCGGGGGAACCTTCAAAAATAGTCCAATCATAAAAGGTCAGGGGGCGATGTTTGGACTATTTCTGACCATTTCCAGAGTATGTTTTGATGATTTGTCATTGTGCAAAATCCGCCTGTAGGGGGACATGCCCGACCTATGCCTGGCCCCGCCCCGTGAGGGCCCGGCAGCCCGTGGATTCTCATCGGGCTCGCGCCCGCCAGACGGACGGACGCCCTGCGGCTTGGCTCGGGCCGCGGCGCTGAGAGTGCGCGTGTGTGTTTCTCTCGTTCCTTGTTGCTTTGTGTGTTTGTTGCTTCCTGTTTTTCTTGCGTCGGCCTCAAGACGAACAAAGAAGCATTGGGAGCTCCGCGCGGATTTCTTGGACCGGCGCTGGGTCCCCCAGGCGGCGCCTCCAGCCCACCTCCCTTGCGCGATCCGCGCGCCTGGGAAGGGGGATACATTCGGCGGCTAGAGCAGTCAGCTCGAGGCGTCGGCTTTGTTGCTGTTTCTTGCTTCGGCATGGCCGGCTTGGACCCCTGGGGCCGTCAGGAAGCAGCGCGGGTTGAAAAGCCGGGCTTGGAGAAGGGGTCGACAGGTTTTGTCGGCACAGCATGGCGAAAAAGAAAATTGTACACAGTAAACTTGTCCGCCATCGGGGACGCCTGTCCCAGGGCGGCTGGACGTTGATCTGCTGGCCTTCGGCCCATTCCGCCGCCGTGCCCGAGTTGTGGTTCTGAGGTCTCTTGGATGGTCGTTTGGATCTCGTCGAGGCCTTTCGGGGGCCTCTTGGAGGCACTTGTGAGGCCTCTGGGGGGATGTTTTGGGGCCTGTCTCGGCCGCTTCTTGGGGGCCTCTTGGGTCTTCGTGGGGGCCTCTTGGGGGCTCGTTGGGGCCGCTTGAGGGCCTGGCAGTCCGTCGCTGCTTATCCAGCGCGCGCCCGCCAGACCGACGGACGCCCTGCGGTTTGGCCCAGGCCGCCACGCTAAAACTGCGTGTGCGCTTTCATTGTTCATAGTTGTTTCGTGTTTGTGTTGTTTTTTGTTTTGTGTGTGTGTGCGAGAACCGACGTAAACATCCGAAAACGCTCCTTCCCAGCGCCAGTCCCCCCCGATTGGTTTCACTCACAGTACCAAGGCTCGAGCTAAACGGTGTTATGGCGACTTCGTGGAACTTGTTCGTCTTTGCCTCGCTTTGCAGAAGCGGCGGAGCATAAACCGAGCGACAGCGGATCACCTCGTTCAGTTCGAGTCCTGCCCCATACCCCCACCCCCTGGAAAGGGGCGCCCCGCGCGATCCCGCGTGGCGCTGTTCGGCGCCGCGTTTGCGCGGCGCCAGCGTTGAACGGGCAGTTTTTGCGGCGGCGACCGCGTGACCAGGGTGTCCCGCTGCAGGGGTAGTTCGGCCGTCCGCGCCAGGGCGCCCAACTCCGCAAAAGAAATTGCCGTGGCACGCAACCACCAACATTTTTTGTCGCCCATGCCAGGCGCCGCGCGCTGAGTGCAGCAGTGATCAGCACTTCCTCGGATGCCTGGGTGCAGAGTCTGACTGCTCGTCTGCCGCCGCGCCGCGCGGGCGGGGTCGGCCCCTGCGGGCAGAGCTCAGATCCGCTCGCGCTGCGACCTTGGATTTTCCGGGAAGGGGCGCCAAACGGCCGAGGCGCAGTTCAGGAGGGGAACAAAAACACAGACACAATTAATCGTCGACTCCCAGGAAAATATGGAAACATATGGGAATTGGGGGGAAGACCAAAACCCAGAAAATATGGGAACATATGGGGAATCTTGTCCTTTGTGGGTATTTATTTGTGTGTCCCAGGGCCCCTTCAGCAGCGCTGATGTACATGAGTTACATAAGTATAGCCTTCAGTGGCCAGGTGCTTCTCCACATCCGCTGCGCCCCTGGTTTCGGAGGAGCGTAGCCCCAAGCTCCAGGACGCAGTGGATCTGGGCACAAGTCCTGCCCGCAGCCCCAGGCGCGTGCCCCTTCCAGAGCGGCCTGAATGGGGAGTGGGTGAAGAAGGGCCACACCAAGACGGGCCACGCCTACTACATGAAGGACCCGCGCGAGCGGGGCGGGGCTCCGGGCTGGCGGCCAAAAGTCGACCAGGGGCAGCCGCGAGAGCGGAGATCCTTCTGTCATCCTCCTCTCCCACCGTCGCCCCATCCTCCTCCTACTCCCCTTCCCCTTCCCCTTCCCCTCCTCTTCCTCCTCCTCCTCCGCAAGACAGCCGCAGAGCAGTTTAGGGGGTCTTTGAGGGGCCTCTTGAGGGCCTCTTCGGATCCTCTTGGGGGCCTCTTGGGGCCTCCTGAGGCCCATTCGGGGCCGAGGGTCCGAAGTGTCCGTTCGGGCCCCTGGCCCTGGGCCCCTTACCAGCGCCCCGACCGATTTTCCAGGCCAACAGGGGCTTCCACGACAGCCCCAGAGGACGCAAAGGTGCCGCCAAGACGGACCAGATGGCCAGAAGAGGCCCCAAGGACCGCGCGAACGGGTCGAACAGGGCCGGCGAAAGGGCCTCGACGGGGAAATTTTGTGTTTATTTGTCAGGGTCCTGGCTCCATAAGAGGGCTTCAAGACCAAAACCATTGAAAAGCCAAAACGGAAGGCCCATGCGAGAAACCCCGGCGGCGCCCAAGAGCGCCCAGCAGCGCCCAGGAATTTCGCGGTCCGGTGTTCAAGAACCATACAATTCTTCCCCTTAAGAATTGCATGAGCCTTGGGACACTCCACTACCTGCCAAAGCCACGGTGGCGGATCAGCTGTTTCAGCATGGGAGGTTCCAGGAGGAGTCTATCAGATCATACATGCGGCCCTCGCCACATGCCGTTTCTACTTGTGGTTCTTGACAACACCAACATCCTCGCCCTTCCTCCTCCTCCCTCCTCCGCCTCCTCCTCGTCCTCCTCCCCGCCCCGAGAGCCAGCGAGCGCGTGCCGATTTGCCGAGGACTGGCGCAGCCTCTACTTCGACCACTCCTGTAACGGCGATGGCTTCACCTCCACCTGGACCGCCCAGAGAGGGGGGGGAGACCAGGCAGGGCTCCCCACCTCCTCCTCGTCCTCCTCCTCCTCCTCCTCCTCCTCATCATCATCATCAACCCCCCCTCTCCTCCTCCTCTCCTCCTCCTCATCCTCTCCTCTCCTCCTACCTCCTCCTCCTCCTCCTCCTCCTCCTCCTCCTCCTCCTCCTCCTCCTCCTCCTCCTCCTCCTCCTCCTCCTCCTCCTCCTCCTCCTCCCCCACTTCCTCCTCTCCTCCTCCTCTTCGTCCTCCTCCTCCTCAGGAGACCAGGCAGGGCTCCCAACGAGCCGACTCGATGCGTTTCGATTCGCGGGCCAGGGTCGCGATGCCGATCCGTCCCGATTCGGTGCGGTTCGCCGCCGTCGGCGGGGGGTCAGCCTGAGCCAGGCGTGGCGGTCCGTGGGGACGATTCGTCCGCGATCCTATCCGTTTTGGATCCGACCCAATTTCGCGGTTCGATCTGGCGCAGGTTTGCCATGGGCGCTAGCGCCGACAGGGGGGATTGACCCAGGAAGGGAATCGAAGGATCGGGGGCGGCCAAGAGAGGGGTGATGACTAGGGAGGGGGTGATATCATGGCGTGGGCCACAATAGTTCCCCAGATTTCATGGCGCCTCTCCTTATTTCATTACGTCCCTGGGCTGCGCACATGCTGCAGGCCATGATGTACCCCCATCTTGGACGCCCCCCTCTTGGCCGCCCGCGAAAGGAGAACAGCTGCCCCACGCCAGTGTGCGAAGGTCCGCGCGGGCCTCCCGGGCCGGCGCCGGACCCAGCCCGGCAGTGCCGTCCGCCGCCGCGCGCTTCGCGTGCTGCGCGCGCCAGCAGGGGGGGCGGTCCAGCGCCGACCCAAGGCAGTCGCGCGGACCTCCCAAGTCTGATGTGTGTCTGGTTTCTGTTGTTCCTCTGCACTTCGGTGAATCGTTGGGCGGTGAAAATCCTGACTGGGTGGGGCATGGGGCGTGGATTAGTGTCAGTCCGGGCCTGTCCCACTACAGGAGAAATATTCAAAAATAGTCAAAAACAGTCTGGGGACGATTTTTTCTACAATTTTTGATTGCTGTTGAATAGTTTTTAGTATTCTTCATTTTTCCTCCAAAATCAGCCTGTGGGGGGACATGGGGACATGTCCGATCTAAGGTTCGTGGTGGTGGAGGCGTGGATCGCTCTGCCTGCCGCCTGCAACGGCGGCCGTCACGTCCGCGCCGGGGCCGCGCGCGCTCACGGACCGTGCCCAAGGATGAACCCGCGCGCTCGCGAACCGCGCGGGCTCATCCTCAGCATGCTCATAAGGGGGAACGAAGAATGACATAAGCATTAAAACTCGGAGGTCCGCGCGGATTTCTCGGATCCGCGCTGGACCCCCCCTGGCGGCGCCCCCCTGGCGGCGCCAGAGGCGCCGTCCCTGGCGCGCGGAGCGGACCTCCGAGTTTTCATGCTTATGTCAGTCTTCGTTCCCCTATGTTCATCCTCATCATCCCCCTCCTCCTCGTGGCCTGCACGACATGTTTTAACATTTCTGGCTGAGACTGTTTGCTTTTCCTACATCGGGCTTCTGTTCTCGGAGCCTCTGCCCTGTCATTCGGACATTCTCGGGCTCTAAGGACATGTCGCGGGAGGCCTATAGGAATGCCGGGGCGGTCGGTCCCTGCTCGAATTTGCCTCGCCCTGCGCATGTTTGTCCAGTTTCTGCTGCTCCTCCAGGGAGGACCTTCGGCCCGTACTTAATCGCCCCCCGTCCTCGCCGAGCGGGGGGGGGGGCCCGGTGTCCCCCGGCCTGCCCAGGAGAGCGTGTGGCTGCTCCGTGTCGGGGGCCGATCGCCGATGCATCGGCGGTGAGAATCGGCGAGTCCGACTCCATGCTCGAGGAGGAGGAGCGAGGAGGAGGAGGAGGAGGAGGAGCGAGGAGCGAGGAGCGAGGAGCGAGGAGGAGGAGCGAGGAGGAGGAGGAGGAGCGAGGAGCGAGGAACGAGGAGGAGCAGAGGAGCGAGGAGGAGCGAGGAGCGAGGAGCGTGGAGCGAGGAGCGAGGAGCGGTTCCGCTTCTGCTTCCGATTCCATGCCGCCCATCTTCCCCCGGGGCCATTCCCCCCCCCCCTCTGTCCTCCTGCAGGGGGGGATGGACGGACAAGACGTCTTGGCAGAGACGGACCCAGCGGCCTGGCGTCGCTGCACACTCGCAGCGGTTGTGTTTTTCTCTTCCCAGAGGTGCTGGGTCTCTGGGGGCCCGCTGCGGGGACGGACAAGTCGGCGGCCTCTGGGGGCGGACGGAGGCGAGAGGCCCGGGGGCCAGTGGCTAGGGCACGCGCGGTGGGGGAGGAGCCGCGAGGAGGAGTTTGGCGCTGGGCGGGAGGAGGAGGAGGAGGAGGAGGAGGAGGAGGAGGAGGAGGAGGAGGAGGAGGAGGAGCGGGAGGAGGATCAGCAGAAGCATGATGAGGGAACACTGCGAGGACGGTGATGAACAGCAAGCAGCAGCGAGCAGGAGGCGGATGAGAGGAGGACGAGGAGGAGGAGGAAGAGGAGGAGCAGGAGTGGGTCGTGGGGGTGGGGCAGCAGAAGAAGGAGGGGCAGGAAGAGCATCGAAGAAGACGTTCATGTCTAAACATCAGCTTGCGAAGCTCCGAATCATTCATACGTGCGCCAGTTTTCTTTCTCTGGAGCAGGGGAAGTACTGGGCTGAAGATCAGGCTGTGGTGCAGGCGGTATGATACCGGGGAAGAAGAGGAGGAGGAGGAGGACGAAGAGGAGGAGGAGGAAGAGGAGGAGGAGGAGGAAGGGGAGGAGGAGGAGGAGGAGGATGCTGATGATGATGCTGATTATGGTGATGATGATGATGATGCTGATGATGATGATGATGATGATGATGATGAACATGATAATGATGATAAGTCGTTCTCCGAACAGGGTTGCTCCTTGGGAAGCGTTGCTGGCCGCCCGTCTGCGATCTTCCGTTGACGATTCGCTCAAGCTTTTTCCCCACGGGGCATGGTGCCCCCGTGGGCGGTCGGAGCCCTCACCCAGCTGTCGCATGGCGTGGCCTCCTGGTTGAGTCGGGCCCCACCGCCGCCGCCGTGCCCGGCGCTGGAGTGCCCGGACTGCCACTGCGCCTGCCCCGCGGTGCCGCCCTGCCCGGCCTGCCCAGGGGCGCCGGCTCCCCAGTGCCCGCTGCAGGAGCGGGCTCGCGCTTCCACGGCGCCCGCGGCCCCGACGGTGGCGGCGGCCTGGGGGACGACTGTGGCGTCGCTCGTGATCGGCATCGCGCTCGGCGACTTCGGGAGGTGGAGCGATGGCTGCTGCTGCCGCCGACGCCGTGCCCGCGCTGGACGGAGTGGACCAGGTGGCGTACCTCCTGTATGCAGTCCCAGGGGCGCCCCTGTGGCACCAGCGCTGGAACTTGGGTCGGGTGGTGTCCTGTCCGAGTGACGCGATCCTGGTCTCGCCGGACCACCAGGTGCAGTGCGAGGTGGTGGACGGGACGTCGGCCGACATCAGCGCGGTGAGGTGGGCGCCCGCCCTGGCCCCCAGGCCACCGGGCGTCGTGCGGGCCTACCGCTTCGCGAGCCCCCCGACCGCGGCGGAGGTGGCGGCCTGGCTCCCCGACGCCCAGGCCGAGGCTCGGCGCTGCTTTGCTCGGCGCCACCCGGGCGTGGCCGTGCCGGCGCCCGTCTTCGAGGCGTGGCCCTGGGCTGCGCCAGGGGCGCCGGCTGCCGCCGCCGGGGCCGCCCCAGCCGCGCTGGCCGCCGCCGCCGGGCCGCCGGGCGGAGCCGGGGTCGTCGTGCCGGCGGGGGGCCCGCCGCCCGCGGCGGCGCCCGCCGCCCCGGTGCCCGCGCCCCTGCCGGGCGGGATGATGCGCCGAGGAGGAGCGGCCGCGGCGGCTGCGCCGGCCGCGGGCGGCGGAGAGGCGGGCGGTGCGCCAGCGCCCGCGGGGGCAGCGCTCGCAGCGGCCGTGGTCGGGGGGGCCCGGCCCCTGGTGCTGGCGGGAGGCGCCGGCGGCGCTGTCCCCGCCCCCGTGGGCAACTGGCGCGTCGCCCAGGAGTGGAGGGGCTATCACTACGGCGATGTGATCACCCCCCCAGCTGGCTTCGCGGGGACGGGCACCCCCGCCCGAGGAGTCGTCCCGCTCGCAGACGGGTCGTCTCTCTTCGTCGAGTGGGTGGCCCTCGGAGACGAGTCGGACTTCGCCGACCGGGCGGTGGCGCCCGACTGCCGCCTGCTGCCGGTCCGCCTCGACCGCGCTGGCAGGCCCTTCCGGGCGCTCGAGAACCTCGTGGAGAGTTGCCGCCAGGAGCACCTCCCCGACTTCATCGCGCCGAGGACGACCATGTGGTGCCTCGAGCACCTGGCGGGCGAGGGGCGCTCTCTCGAGTCCCACTTCGAGCATTTCAAGAAGCTGTGCGGCCTCCAGGACACCCAGTGGGGCATGGAGGAGTACGGCAGTGTGATCAGCTACCTGAAGGCGTTGCTCCAGCACGATCAGGTGGACGCGTCCAACATCCTGTCGGTGGAGATGATGTTCCGCCGGCTCCAGACGATCGAGTACAGCGACAAGCTGCGCGAGAGGACGGCGGGCTCTTCCGCGGGAAGGCTCACCGCCGACGAGCAGGCCGCCTTCGGCGCCACCGCCCGGGCCGAGTCGAGGCTCATGGTGTCGCCCGCGCTCCTCGAGAGCGCCAAGCAGGAGCTGGAGCGCGACGCCTCGCTGGCCAAGAGCCTCCTGAAGGCGCGCGAGGCGCGGGAGTCGCTGGGCCGGCGGAGGCAGGGCCAGGGGAAGGACCAGGGGTGATGCTCGACCGCCCCCCCCAGACGTCTCTCAGGTCTGGCGGGGGGGAACCCGACATGACTGGGGATGCTCGGCACGCCGTCGCGCCGCCGGGAAATTTTGACAGGAACGTGGGAAGGGATCTGCTGCCTTTCCCCACGGAGCTGCTCGCCTCGTCGGGGCCACCTGCACCTGGGCTCTCGCGAGGCTGCCGGCAGAGAGTCGGCCGT